GGGTGTGAGTGTGGGTGTGGGTGTGGGTGTGGGTGTGGGTCTGGGTGTGGGTGTGTGGGTGTGCATGTGAGTGTGGGTGTGGGTGTGAGTGTGGGTGTGGGTGTGGGTGTGGGTGTGGGTGTGGGTGTGGGTGTGGGTGTGGGTGTGGGTGTGGGTGTGGGTGTGTGGGTGTAGGTGTGGATATGGGTGTGGAGTGTGGATGTTCGACGCGAAAGAAGACGAACTCCGACATCCACACCCCACTCCACCCATATCCACATCCCACCGCCATCCATACCCACCCCGACACCCACATCCTACACCCACACCCACTCACACCCACACCCACACCCCACACCCACACCCACCCACACCCACACCCACACCCACCGACACCCGACACACACCCGCAATGTTGAATCTTACGGGAAAAAAAACTAATCGAAATGTTTTCATTTTCTGAAATATATATAAAGTTTATTATTTGATTATATTGTTCGAGTTGATTGTGGAAAGAAAGAAATAGTATCATACTCAATCAATGCACATATCGGACAATATCAACAATAATCAATGACGAAGAAAACTATTTGAATGTTATGTTCGAATCTAATCCATATCATTTTTATCAATTATCATTGACTAATTTTTCACTTTCCAACAGTTTCAATTATTCATAACCGATTTTGACTTTATTTTCAACATCAAAAAGTATAATATTATTATGAACAAAATAAAGTATTGTGTGGAAATGATAGACAAAGAGTTTCGAATGAAATCTGCCCAAGACAAGCAATCCTTGCACAGGATTCCGGTCAGGATTTCGTCGGAATCCGATAAAAACTGACGAAATCCGACAGAATCCTATCGGATTTTGCACGTGTCCGATCAGATCCGACAGTCGGAATCCGGCCCATGGGATTCCGACAAAAATTCGACAGGATACAGACGGTGGGGTGGGCGTGGGCGGGGGGGGGGGGGGGGTGGGGGTGTGGGTGTGGGTGTTGATACAAAGGTGAGAATCACACCCACACCCACACCTCACACCCACACCCTAAAAATGTTGAAAATGACCATCTATAGGGAAAGTAGGAATCTCCCTCACCTTCACCTTCGTGAGTACAGCGAATAGAAGCAACAAAGATTCAGTCGATGCATTATCATACGTGTCCATCCTAATAGATTGAAGAATCTCATGTTGATTTGACAAGTTACATGCTAAGAACCATTCTCCATCTCCTTTCCCGTTCATCATCTTCATGCCATTCCAGCAATAAAAACTGGCATTGAAAAAGCATTGAGTGAAGATTAATGGTTTTGAGGAATCGGTATGTTCGCGTGAAGGAAAATGTTAGATGATGCTTGAATGACAATGTTGTAAGCAACAGCTAAAGAATTTTCACAAAAATTAATTATAGAACGGAACAAACACCACGTTCGCCTTCCTTTTTTTTGCTATTCGTCCTTCGTCTCGTTTTGTTATTGATTCATTTTCGTGCTTGGCACATCTCCTATGGATTATGATAGATATGACAAGAGCTCTCATCTACGATTAAAATAGCTTCATCACGCTTCAAATGTTAATCCCGCAGAGATTATACGCTGCAAATTTTACTAAGTGCGTAAATATTGTTCCAGGGTAAATACTAGATAAATATTAGTAATTCGTATTCAGTCTCACAACAAAAAAAGCAGTGATAAAATAATTGACTCTCGGTTTCAACTGAAAGTTCAGATTATTACTTGTGTATTTTCGATCTATACTGATCCGCTTCCATATTTTTGCATGAATCGTATAAACATTCTAATCGTACTCGCTTTACTATGGCATCTATGCTTTAGTCAAATCGAGCAAAATGGTGGCAATGTAACGTCAAAAATTCAACAAGTTGAAGCGGGACTGCGTTACGCCATAGAGATCGACGGGGAATTATCAGATCCAACATTTACGATTAGTGAGCGGATGAAGCACTTCCAGGTACCTGCCGTTAGTATAGCCCTGATAAATGAGGGAGAAATCGAGTGGACGAAAGCCTACGGCTATTTGAGTATGGACATGGTGAGAAAAGCCGATACGTTGACATTGTTTCAAGCAGCTTCCATCAGTAAACCAGTGGCAGCTATAGCCGCTCTAGAATTAGTGGAGCAACGAAAAATAGACCTGGACGAAAATGTCAATACGTATCTTCACACTTGGAAAGTAGAGAACACTTCTTTCACTGAAAAAGAGTACGTCACTCTGCGAAAGCTTCTCACACATACGGCGGGACTTACCGTTCATGGATTCCACGGCTACGCTCAAGGAGACATTTTACCTACATTAGTTCAAATCCTAAATGGGGAAAAGCCAGCTAATTCGCCGGCTGTTGTCTCGGATCTGACTCCAGGGAGTCTCTGGCGGTACTCAGGTGGCGGATATGTTCTCATGCAGCAATTAGTAGAAGATGTAACGGGATCTGACTTCCCTACGGTGATGCAACGTTTGGTACTTTCTCCTATTGGTATGAATCATAGCACCTTCCAACTGATGCTGCCTCCATTATGGCAGCAACAAGCCAGTATTGGTCATCAATCAGGTGGCAAAAAACTACCTGGTAATTGGCATACATATCCGGAAAGTGCAGCGGCCGGCCTATGGACCACGCCATTCGACCTGGCCCAATATGCCATCGAAATACAAAAATCTCTGCGGGGAGAATCTAATCGAGTTCTTTCGAAACAGATGACCGAAGAGATGCTTACTAAACATTTGGGCGACTGGGGTTTAGCTCCTGGTTTGGATGGTGATAACGATTCGTTTGCTTTTAGCCACTCAGGTGCGAATGAAGGTTTTAAATGTTTTTTGTACGCCTTCGCCTATTCAGGTAAAGGAGCGGTGATTATGACGAACTCAGATGATGGCTCGGATTTAATTAACGAAATAGTCAGAAGCATCGCGATTACCTACAACTGGAGCGCTCATAAACCCATAAAGAAGACTCGTATCACGCTATCACCCTCAAAACTGGCCACATTTGTTGGAGAATATTTTTTGAATCAGTACAATCTTACTTTACTGATCACGGTTCAGGAAAACGATTTACTGATCAAACAACTCTGGAATAATCAAACATTTATTCTTTATCCAGAATCTGATTTAGATTTCTTCATCAGAGAATACGGCTACTTGATTAAATTTGAATCATCAAGCAATGGAACTATCACCGGATTACTGTTATTAGGGATGAAGTGGACGAAGACGTTACAGACGTCAGGTTCACATCTTTTTCTCTCTTCTCCTCTTCTTATTTTCTTTTCCTTGAACGTGATTTCGTTTCTTTCTTTTCTTTCTTCTCGTTAGATCATCTTTTCTTCAAAGTGATATCTTTTGATCTGTCTGTCTTTGTATTTTTTCATTACCTAAATGTTCGCGTTCTACGGGGTGGCGCAAAACTTACCCGGCAGTCTTGAATTACCGATCACTTTTGATAGAAAAAAGCTAGAAAGTTGCAGTTTTCACCATTGGAAAGAGCGTGTTTCATTGCATATTTTCATGCGTTATTCAGCAACGCAGATTGATGACATAATAGTCAGCCCAAGACCTTCGAAAAAAGAGTGATTTTTCTGTAATTGTAAGATAAGGGGTGTTTCATAAGTACCGGCCCCATTTTTATTTTATTTTATTTTATTTTTTGCTATGTTTAAAGGTAAACAGATATTGACTGTATATTTTTGAAGAGCAGCACCTCGGCTATCATCCAAGAGGATTTGCAATTAATTTGCATTAGCCATAAGAAAAATGCTACATCGATGAAACTATTGAAAAAATTTCATCGAATTTCGATTTTTAAAGCGTGTCCCATAATAACTGATGATAAATTGTTAGTAATATTTTTCATACTTTTTATTGACGTAGAGAGATGAAACTTTTATAACATATATATCTAATCAAGATCTATTATTTCTGAAAGTTTCAGCTCTTTAGCTATGACTAGTGGTGAAATACATTGACCAGATTGAAACACATAACTTTTCGTACTCGTTTTTTGCATTTTATTTTCATAGTGAAAATAATGCAGAAATCGAGTACAAAAATGATGTATCGAAATTTGACGAAATTTTTTCAATAGTTTCATTGATGTAGCATTTTTCTTAGGGTTAATGCAAATTCATTGCAAATCCTCTTGGATGATAGCCGAGGTGCTGCTCTTCAAAAATATACAGTCAATATCTGTTTACCTTTAAACATAGCAAAAAATAAAATAACAATAAAAATGGGGCTGGTACTTATGAAACACCCTTTATATAGGATAGTATTACTCAAAAATCATGCAACAATTTTTAATTGCCGATAACTTTTGGTTACCCTTTCTCTATTTTTCCAATTTAGGATCTAACAGGTGGCCTATAAAGAATTTCCCTCCTAGTATTTTTGAAATTTCTTTTCTATTCTTCTTTTAATTCAAATATCTTTTCTTATGAAAAGATAGCGCTTGGAATTCTCTACAAAACCATATATGACTACACCTAAAACTGTTTTAGATATATTTGAAAAAAAAAGGAGGAAAACTGAAGACATACAAGCAGCTGTAAAAGTAAATAACGGGTGTCCCATAATAAATGGCTGCATATGGCATTTCATATTTTGGTCTCTAAATACGTTTTATTAGAAAAAAATATATACCAGAAGATGCAGCGTGAAAAGCTCTACAATCTACAAACTAAAGTTTATTTGAATTGTATGCTTTTTGTTTTCAAAAAAAAAAACGAGCAAAACTCTATGCGTCCAAATTTTGTCATAGTGAAAAAATCATTTTTCACACGAACAAGAATTCCTTTTTCTTATTTTATCTTTTTATCACCTAATATGTTTTCTTTAAAAGAAACAAAATATACCACAAGATATAACATGAAAAGCTCTACAGTTTACAAAGAACAGTTTATTTTATTTGTGCACTTTTTATGTGCAAAAAAATCCAAATTCTGTGCGGTCAGTTTTCGCAACAGCGAAAATTGGTCGCACAGAGTTTTGCTTTTTTTTGAAGACAAAAAGCATACAATTCAAATAAACTTTAGTTTGTAGATTGTAGAGCTTTTCACGCTGCATCTTCTGGTATATATTTTTTCTAATAAAACGTATTTAGAGACCAAAATATGAAATGCCATATGCAGCCATTTATTATGGGACACCCGTTATTTACTTTTAACAGCTGCTTGTATGTCTTCAGTTTTCCTCTTTTTTTTTCAAATATATCTAAAACAGTTTTAGGTCTAGTCATATATGGTTTTGTAGAGAATTTCAAGCGCTATCTTTTCATAAGAAAAGATATTTGAATTAAAAGAAGAACAGAGAAGAAATTCCAAAAATACTAAAAGGACAATTCTTTATGGGCTATCCGTTACATGTGACACATTTTATTTTAGTGTGTATAAATATGAATCCGCAACAGACTGTAAAAAGTATTTGAATTTTGGGAATAAGCTTGACGATAATAATCCCCAAATCCAAATGAACAGTTTTTGCATAATTGGATACCAATCATGGCCATATAATGTTTTTTGATACTGTGCGAGACCAATATCGTTTTGTTTCTCTCTCAAATTTATTTCAAAAAAGAACTTAATTGAATTCTACAAGTTTTCTTTTGGAATATTTTTATTATTAATATAAAATATTTCAATTGTTGTCGTATCAGGCGACTTGTTATTCATAAAGAAATTTTGTAAAAATCTTGTAATTATTTCCTTATCATTTGGTTTATTTCTATACACATCCACCCAAATTTTAATTAATTTTAAATTGCATGGAATATTTGGATTTGTTTCTGTAGTTGATAGTAGGGTGTGGGTATGGGGTGTTGGTGGGTGTGGGTGAGTGTGGGTGTGAGTCTTTGAAGAAGAATAACCCACACCCACACCCACCCACACCCACACCCCACACCCACCCACACCCACACCCCACACTCATACCCCCCACACCCACACTCATCCCCCCCCACATCCACACCCACACCCCCCACACTCACACCCACATCCTCTTTCATTGCCACATAAAGGTAAGTTGATATGAAATTAAATAGTAATCGATCATCACTCACCGAAAGTTATTAATTTTTTTTTAGGGCATTCAGGAGTTAATCAACTTGGAGGTTTATTTGTTAATGATCGCCCATTACCTGATACTACTCGAACACGTATTGTTGAACTTGCACATAATGGTATGCGTCCATGTGATATAGGTCGGCTTTTACAATTATCAAATGGTTGTGTTTCAAAAATCTTAGCACGTTATTATGAAACAGGTTCAATAAAATGACGTGCTATTGGTGGTTCAAAACCACGTGTAGCTACATCGAATGTTGTTATGAAAATTGCTCAATATAAACGTGAAACACCATCAACATTTGCATGGGAGATACGTGATCATCTTCTAGCAGATAATATTTGTAATCCAGAAAATATACCAAGTGTATGTTTTGACTTGTTTTTTTAAAATAAAAATGAATATTCTTGTTTTTAGGTATCATCAATAAATCGAGTATTTCGAAATCTTGGTTCAAAATCATTAGAATCAATGACTAATCATGAAACATATTATTCAATTAATAATAAATTACGTACTGTACATAGTCAAACATGGTCATCATCATCATCATCATCATCATTTTATACTCATCAACCATCATCAAGTATTTATTCAAATAATGGTGATTCAAATTCTGAATATAAACATCAAACTCATGATTTAGAAGGTATTTTATTTGATATAATGAAGTCACAGATGTGTAGACCACCTGTTGATATTGATCGGTTAGTTAAAGAGAACAATTAAAATTAACTGCTGATGCCCTTAAGTCATATATCCAAAAAAACTAAATTTCTTTTCTTAATGATTGATAAATCAAAATAAATGATCAGACGGTCATCAAGGCGGAGTTATATTCTTATTCTAAACGCCAAAAGAAATAACAACAATAACAGCATGAATTTATTTTTTAGTTTGACATCAATGTTTTTTATCTATATAGACTAATTAAGAAAAATATACACACAGTAGGATAAACGGAAATTATATTTTGAAATCTAATTGAATATTTCGCTTATCTAAAAAAACAATAATATAAACTTTTCATGAATATATGCATAAGAAAATTTTGAATCTAAAAAACTTCTTCATTCCGCTTTGCTGAACTCATAAAAAAAAGAAATCGTCATTTCATTCTCTTCGTCTATTTTACAGATGTATTATTCCACATCGTTGATAATATTCAAAAGAAAAAGAATAGATTTTTTAAAATATTAATCTCTTGATGTTTGCATAAGAAGAAAAAAAGTGTATATATCATGATTTCGGCATCTAAGTGAATATATGTTCTTTTTTACGTTTTCATAATATAGGGGATGTTCAATCATTGCTATAAGCTTCATCATCACACCATTCTTTTATTCGATGATCAAAGGGTTACTTACCTTTTTTTTAGATTTATCTGATGGAAGTGATGATAGTAAAATAGGTATAAGAGATGGTAGTTTAAATGAAAATGATGAAGCTGTACAAGAACGTTTAAAATTAAAACGAAAATTACAACGTAATAGAACATCATTTACACAAGAACAAATTGATGCATTAGAACAAGGTATTTAAATAATGAAACAGGTATTTTTATTATTTTCAATTCAATTTTAGCTTTTAATAGTTCACATTATCCAGATGTATATGTACGTGAAAAACTTGCACAAACAATTAGTTTACCTGAAGCTCGAATACAAGTAAAATTAATCTTTATGATTATAAGATTAAAAAAAATAAATAAATATACAGTAAAACCTGTCTAATATGAATACTGTCGGGATCAGTAGAAAGCGTTCAGTATAATGGAGTGTTCATAAAGGAGGGGGATAAGCAAATATTGATTAAAAGAGTAGTTTAATCATTTATTGATGGCGTTTAAATAGATTTTGTTATTTTATATGATTATATAAGTTTTAAGACTACATTTTTTAAATAGACTAGTTTAAGTACGATGTACAATTCCTGACTGAATAGGTTTTAAAAAATTCAGAATAGATTTTTGCTTCACAATGTTTGCTACAACACCAGTTGATAATTTAAATTTATCACAGTTCACGAAATGATGAACCACATTCATTCTCTTTAATTAATTTAATTTATTCTTCAAGAATAAGATCATGTCGAGATGACATATCTTAAAGACAAAGGCAGAAAATATATCTAAAGAAACAATGATATTAGTAACAGTGGTCTGATTATTTTTTTTCTTATTGTCTCTCTTCGTACGTATTCATTGAATTAAGTTTCATAACCAATCAGTTCATTGGTTTTCACCTATATTGCTCCAATAGTATTATTTCTTTAAGTGGCGATACATTTAGAGTTCATATTGATAAGGTTAATATATACGGACGGGACCGAAAAAATGCGTTCACATTCAGAATCACGAAATGTTCATAAAGGAGGGAGGCAAAACAAGCAAAACTCGCGCGGTGGGACCGGAGAGTGTTCAGTTTAACAGATTGTTCATAAAGGAGGGGTGTTCACTAATAGAGGTTTTACTGTATTTTTAAGGTATGGTTTTCTAATCGTCGTACAAAATATCGTCGTCGTGAAGATAAAGTTAAAGGTCGACGACAACATCATCAACAACAATTAATAAATGATATGGAAGAAAATATGCGACCATCAGGTATAACACCATCATCATCATCAGTTTATCCTCAAGCATTTCCATCAAATAATCCTTCAATAACAAATGATTCACATCATCATCATCAATATGGAGCATTTAGTGCTGCTGCTGTTGCATGTAGTTCAAGCGGTTATCCAACATTTTTTCCCAGTAAAGTTTTCTTAATTGAATTTTATACCGTAAAGAAATTTTATGTTTAGCTTCAACACGTGGTTATGATGGACTTAGTCCATTTAGCACATCTTATAATCGTTCTTGCTCAACTTATTCAACAGGCATTCAAACTAATCTATCTGCAGGTAGGTGAAGAAACAAAAAAAACTCATTTAATATTTTTATTTATGTAGATCATATGAAAAATATGTCTTCAATGTCAACATATGGTAGTGCTCCACATATTTGGTATCCACCGATATTACCGTAAAAAGGGTATGTTTTGTCTCATGAGAAATGCTTGTGAATTATATCGTTTGATTGAAAAGGTGATGATTTGTTAGATAAATAGACGTATGAGGTGTAAAAGAATGAAAAACAATTAAAATTTTTTTTTCTTCTTGTTTTTAGATTCGAATTGACGCTTCTCAACTATTGTGAACATTGACTTCTGTATCAAATTGATTATTTGTTTTTTTTGTGTGTATTGTTGTCTATTGTTCTTCTTTTTTTATATTTTCAATGAAATAGATATGTAAACTGCACCTTGAATATATATATATTTGAAATAAGATAGATTTTCTTTACAAAAAAAAAACATTCTGCTTTGATATGATATGCAGGAAATAGAGGAGCATCAATATTGGTTATAAATCAATTATGTGTGTCTGTTGAATATTTCGAAGAAGAAAAAATGCTGACGTATTGCGATTGGTTTACTGCATCTTGAAAATATTCAACGAACAGTAAATCGTATAAACCGATTGTTTTTATTCTTACGGATTGAAGCGACGATCTTGATTGAAATCATAGCAGTGTTCATGATGCATAATTTTTGTTGTAAAACCAGAGGTGGGTAAGTACGGACTTTTTCGAGTACGAATAGAGTACGAGTACGAGTACTAACCTCTAGAGTACGAGTACAGCCGTATAAAGGCGCAAAAACGGGTTTCGAAAGCGGTTGCAGAAAACATATGGCACATTTATGTTAACAGTAGAGCATTGAAAAAATTAAAAATCAAAACGTTTTTTTAACTACCTTTTATTATCAAATCTCAAGAAGAAAAATTAAAACAGAAATTCATTACATTTTAAGAAAGAAATTAAACAAACATTTTTGCCAGTTTGTTTTTGCTCGATGTGAATGTATGACAAAGTCAGATTGAGAAAAACCACGTTCTATCGGAGTAGTTGTTACCGGTACTGACAAATATTTCAATCCAAGTTGATATAAATATGGATATAGAAATTTTTTCGTAAAAAGTAAATCTTCTTTACAATTTTTTTCACATAAAAAACCATCAAGTGCACGTAAAACTTTTGTTTGATCATCAGATGAAATCTTCTGTGTATCATTTAAATAAGGAAATAGACATTTTCGTCTGTTGGAAGAATCAGTTTTCTTCGGCAGAGTATCGGCACTAGCTTGTTCAGTTGTGTTTGATAAGTCAGCACTGATATTCTTTGAAAACTGATACGTCAATTTAGAAAAAAAAAGCTTGTTAGCGCAGCCCCTTTGGGGCTGAAATGTGGAACTCACATATCTTCTTTACTTTCACTTTGCTGATGGCAACATATATAATGTTTAAATTCTCTCAAAGACGATAATTCATTTCTAATGATAATTGATTGTTAGGAAATGTTGTCGTTTTTCATTTATATACTTCGAGTAGAACCTTTTTTTCTCGTTGCTATGTGTCTGTAATGGGGGGGAGTATCCATGTAATGTTTTTTTTCGTTGCTATGTGTCTGTAATGGGGGGGGTATCCATGTAATGTTCTTTTTCGTTGCTATGTGTCTGTAATGGGGAGGGGGGGGGGAGCCGCAAAAACTTGACCTTAAAACTTACACTCACTATTTTCTTCGAAAATATATGTGAGTTCCACAAAATGAACAAAAGCACTACGAATTTTCTCAAGAACACGCGCTTTAACATCAGTATGAAGCGTATTAAGCCACAGTAATTGAAAACGGCCATCAAGGAGTGGATAAATAAGAAAGATCACATCCGAAAAACGTTTTGACATAGAGTACGAATCGAAAGATACATCAATTTCAACATGATGAAGAAGTCCACTAAATCGAGATTTAATTGAAGAAATAAGAGCTTTACATAGAGAAGCAAGAATTAAAGTAGAAGAAGAAAGTTCACGTTCGAGATCAAATAAAATACCAAGAACAGTAGGTATAATAAGACTAATAGTAGCATAAGATTCACCTTGTATTAATATAGTAGCTTCATCAAATAATTCAAATAAGAAACAAATTCTTTTAAAATACTTCTGTCTCGAGTATTAAGCAAAAAATCATTTTTCTCCAAATCAATCAGAATTGAATTCAGATATACGATATTACTAGTGTAAAGAGGTAAGAGAATGAACAACGAGGATAACGAAAATACGACATGCCAACTGTCGTCATACAAGTTTGTATCACACATATGTATGGATATATAAAATGAACAGAAAAAGTCATACATTGTTCAGTACAACCTTAGGAAATATAAAACCACACTAGTTTTTAAAAAATATAATTCATCTAAAATCTCGAGTATCTGATTCTCGAGTACGAGTACGAGTACCAGTACGAGCAAAATCGTACTCGAGTACGAGTATGTCGAGTATTTTGCCTACCTCTGTGTAAAACATTGTTAAAATACGATACAGTCAAGAGAGAACAAATTGATTTCTATCATTGGAACAATAGGAATATTGACAATAATTGAAAATCAGAGCGCTACTTTTAATCTTATTACTGAAAATTTTCAATGATTTCTCATGGTTTCTCTTTGATCTAGCCGACAATAGGTTCATGAATGAATGTACTCGAATAATTCGATGAAAATAAATAGGGAAAATTTAACTAACTTACAACATAAGAAGGCTCCGACGAGACTACTAGAAGTCTATAAAGGTTTGTTACCATGCGATATCCTTCCCACGTTATTACAATTTTCTATCTCTGCCAAGGTGTTTATGACAAAATCGATTTATAAAATTTTGCCAATAGGTGTGTCACAATGACAAGAATGAAACTCCAGTGTTTTCAACATTCAATATCTTAAGAATAACATATTCTTTTAGGCTGAAATTTTCAGGGTATTGTGAGAAGGTAGTCGACCACTTGACCAATTGCTAGTCAGAGAAGATTATGTTACACGCTTATGAACGAGAATGGAATGGAATGTTTTATTGTTTAAAGCAGCAAGTATATATATGTGTGAGAACAAAGAAAGGTGAAGAATTCTGTGGAAGGTGAAAAGGTCACAAGCATAAAGAAGAAGACGAATACACACACATATATGTATAGAACAAAAGAAGATATAGATGAAATACATATGACGTCGTAACAAAGAACGGCAGAGATAATACACGTATGATGATGTCACTTAACACACCTCATCAACCGCCAGATGAAGCGTCCCGCTCATCGTTACAACAAACAAAAACAATGAACAAAAACAAAAATTGACAAACAAAAGTAACGAACAGCAAGACAACTTTTAAAAAGAGAACAATACGTGATGTTGATACAAAGAAAACTTCTACAATCTAATGTTCACTATGAATAGAACCGGGAAGTATCTGCCACCTACTTTCTTTCACTTACGACTCTATCATAGTGTGCTCGTACTTTAATAAACATGTTAGCACATGAATCTGTTTTTTTGCATCGTTGTTACGCACACTGGACAAAGTTTGAGATAGTTATGTTACATATTGAACCAATAAATAAAGATACATGATGACGAAGAAGGGTGTGGGTGTGGGTGGGTGTGGGTGTGGGTGTGGGTGTGGTTGTGGGTGTGGGTGTGGG